CAGTGGCTTCAAAAATTTGTGAATATGTTCTATATATATATATATATATATATATATATATATATATATATATATATATATATATGTGTGTGTGTGTGTGTGTGTGTGTGTGTGTGTGTGTGTGTGTGTGTGTGTGTAGTTATTCCTCTTAAAAATTGACTCCTAATAAAAATTGACTCCTCATAGGTGATGCCACATTTTCCTGGGATTCAAAAGTCATTGTTTTTATTGCCTATCTTCAAAAGGGCCGGATCATAAATGGAGAGTGCTATGCCAATTTGCTGATTCAGTTATGTAAGTCTATAAAGACTAAACCCCAGGAAAACTAAGGAAACGAGTTGTAGGGATAGAAAATGCGACTCTATTTAGTCTCATCTGACTATCATCTGTTCTCCAACATTAAAAAAAAGTTCTGGCTGAGTGCCAATATTGCATTGATGATGAAGTAATATCTACTGTTGAAGATTTTTAGACCAAGAGGAAGAAAGCTTCTTCGCCAATGGGATCCAAGCCCAGCAGTACCAATGGAAGAAGTGTGGGCACAGGAAGGAGAGCGGGGGGGGTAAAGTTGATAAATAAACTTCATTTGATCATAATCCTTGAGATCCTCGATTTTTTTTAAAGAAAGTAACGAAGAAGCCTATAAGAGAAAGAAAAATAGAAGAAAACAGAAACAACAAAGAAACGAAAATACAGAAACGTGAGTATATTACAATTCAATCAAAGTAAGGAAGATGGAGTATAGAAAAAAATTTTAAAAATGTCATCGGATAATAACTGAAAGAAATAAAGAAAAAAGAACGAGGCCGGAAGCTAATATACATGAAAGAGAAAAGAAGGAAAAAATGAAAAATACAGAATGGGGAACAGATGAAAATTGAAAGAAAGAAAGAAAGAAAGAAAGAAAAAAAGAAAGAAAGAAAGAAAGAAAGGTTTTCGTTCGTTTTGTTTTACGGTATATCAACCTCAATCGGTTAATTAATGCCAACTTTTTTTCCTGGTAATATTTTGTTTTGTCAAAAATCTATTTCTGGTAATATTTTTTCCTCCAAATGTATAGCTGCTAATATTCTTTTCAAAAACGTATTGTTGGTAATATTTTTTTTCAAAAATATATTGCTGGTAATAGTTTTTTTTTCTTCAAAAAATTATTTTGGTAATAATTTTTTACAATGTATTTCTGGTATTAAAAGCCATTTTAAAAATTTTATAATGCTTTTTACGTCAGTTTCGGGGTCAACAACTTGCCCATAGCTGGGACCCTAACAGGTACTACCACCCCGGGTCAGGGTGGACCTGGGAAAACCAGCAATTAAGAGGTGGTTTAACGCTCCTCAAAACCTCCTGATCTGAGGCCTTGCTGTTGGACGGAGTTTATCGTTATATCCTTGACGCGGATGTAGTTTATCATCATATCAAGGACGGCAAGAAAGAAATAATAAATAAATAAATATAGCGTTTGGAAACAACAGATAGATAGATAGATAGATAGATAGATAGATAGATAGATAGATAAAGGAAATAAAGTGGGTGAAAACAAAAGAAAGAAAGAAAAGAAAATAAATATAGAAACAAATGAATAAATATAGATAGATTGGAAAATAAAGCAGGTGAAAACAAAAAGAAAGAAAGAAAAGAAAGAATGAATAAATATAGCGTTTGGAAACAAAAGATAGATAGATAGATAGATAAATAGATAGATAGATAGATAGATAAAGAAAATACAGCGTTTAGAAGGAAAAGAAAGAAAGTTCACCGAAAAAACGTACTAGTTAACGGTGGATAGATGAAGAAAGAAAGAAAGAAAGAAAGAAAGAAAGAAAGAAAGAAAGAAAGAAAGTGCAAGGAAAAAGTACTAGATAAAGGTGAATAGATGACAACAGAAAGAAAGAAAGAAAGAAAGAAAGAAAGAAAGAAAGAAAGAATGAACAAACAAATAAATAAATGAAACAAAAGAAAAAGAAAATATAAATTTTTATAGGACTAGAATAATTCAACATAAAACAAACAAAGGTCAAAACAAGGTCGAACGTAGAGTTGTAACAAACCTACAATGACATCCTGTAGCCTAGGGGTCAGTTAAAATCACGAGCATAAAGACAGTGAGTGGTACATCTAAAGGGATACCAATTTAAAAAGATTACTTCACCTCTGCATTGTCATTTTTCTATTGGCCTTCTTCATCGAATGAACTTCATTTCACCGGTCTCCCGCTCCCCCTTTAGCCCCGCTGGCAAATTTAATTATCTATATTTGTGTCTCGTCACGGTCTGAAACCTTGGCATTGCTGACTATGTTTCCTAGCCTTACAGCTATCGATTTTTTTTAGAAATATTGATTTTGCCCACGTTCTCACGACTATGCTATGGAATGTCAACCGATTGTAAGCTGTAGATTCTACTCTCTTAAAAAAAAAGAAAAAAACTTCCAAAGATGAGGAACGCGGGTCAGAAAGGTTCAGTTTCGTTTTGAGTCCAGATTTGGTGGGATTTATTGACATGATCTCGACGTGAACTAACTGACTGCAGATATGGGGCGGGATTTTAAAATGCCAACTAGGCCGGGGTGCTATTTGACATTTTATTAGAGCGCTTGTGTTGATATGGTGAGTTACATTATTAGATTTTCTGCCTAGAACGTGATGTCTGCACTAAGAACAAAACGGAATTTAATAAAAAAAAATAAATAAAACAATAACGAGTAAAAGTTTTGACAATCGGAAACTTTCTCTGAAGACAAATACATTTGAGATTTTATTGTACATTTTATAGTTTTTAAAGATAAAAATTCGTTTGTATTTGTGAGCTGCAAGTAATAAAATAATTTTTAAAATGGTATCAAATAAATGGCACTGGTATTAACTTTACATCCAGCAGAACGGAATCCGACAGAGAAGAGATACCATTCTTTCAAGAACATATTTACACGCATTCCGATTCCAACGATATTGTTAAAATAGGCATATATATGACATGATAAAATATTCTCAAGCTCCATTCCCAGCATGTCCCATTTGGTGTAAGTTTCTGGCCAGTGATATTAAACCTAGCACATTCTCGAAGAAGAGTTACTGCCATGGTACGACATTTAGGCGAAAAAACGGTTTCAAAAGCCGAGTTTAATATTTGTGTTCAAATTGTACATATTGAAAAATGAACAAAATTACTCAAGCCCGCAAAGCTTTTTCCACATCAGTGAGGCCACTGACGACAGTCATTTGAAACTCCCCCACTAATGGATAGGTAATTCTTGAGAGTATTGAATTTCTTCTTCTATCTGCTGTTTTCCTACGGGACATTGAAGATTATAGTTCATCACAATTTCCTATTCTATGCCTCTTAGCGGAATTCACCTGTTCCGAAAACCTCTAGCCCCCGTTCTGCCATTTACAGAAGTTCGTCAAGTAGGTGGCTTCCTGCCTCCTCCTATTGCTAGTGCCCTTGCTACCCTGTGAGTGTTTTGTTCCTCAAGCTCACCTTCCTCATTATATGTCCATATAGCTATATCTTTATCATTCTGAGTATAAGTGTTGATTTTGTTGTTTTCGTTTAGACTTTGTTGTTTCTTCATTTTATCCATGGAATTCTCAGCATCCTTCTGTACGACCACATCTCAGTTGTCTCCAGTGTCTCTTTCGTCTCTGGTGAGATTCTCTAGCATTCACTGGCATACAAGAGAATTGATATCAAATTGAAATCTCTAACGAAACTTTCCTGTTTCTTTATTCTTCGTTTATGTTTTCGAATATATATTCCGTTAATCCGATACACGTTTTGGATTTATTTTCATATCCTTTTTTTTTAAAGACTTTCATGATTCATGCCGCTTACATTTGTTGGCTTGTTGTTCTCATCATGGAGAGCTGAATTACCAAAGAGAATTAACAGAAACTGTGATAACCAGAAATGGTTTAACACGTGTAATTCCAACAATGTTACCCTCAAGCAATAAATAAAGGGTTCGGTTCGAAATTCCAACTAATATGACCTGAAGAAGGACGGAGAGTCCAATGGTCGAAACGTCATAAATATATCAATAAAGATGAGGACAGCAGTCCAAACAATGTAAATAGTTACCATATCTCATCTTAGAAATATAGACAGGTTGTGAAGAAGGCCGGAGAGTCCAACGGTTGAAACGTCGTGAATATGACAATAAAGACGAGGACAATAGTCCAAACTATGTAAATAGTTGGCCATATCTCATCTTAGAAATATAGACAGATCCTGACGAAGGCCGGTGTGTCCAACCGTCGAAACGTCCTGAGTATGAAAACAAAGACAATGACAATATTTTGAACAATGTAAATAGTTACAATATTTCATCTTAGAAATATAGACAGGTCCTGAAGAAGGCCGGAGTTTCCAACGCTCGAAACGTCGTGAATATGACAATAAAGATGAGGACAACAATCCAAACTATGTAAATAGTTACCATATCTCATCTTAGAAATATAGACAGATCCTGAAGAAAGCCGGAGAGTCCAACGGTCGAAATGTGAATATGACAAAAAAGATGAGAACAGTCTAAACAATGTAAATAATACAAATGGTTACAATGCCTCAACTCAGACATATAGATAGTCTTTTACGATATTTAAACTTTTGTATTGTTTTGATGTTGGCATCTCAATTTCGTATTACACATCTTTGTTTTTTCTTTTGCTGACAACCATATTTTCTGTTCTTACACGTGATGGCTAATCCTAGTTTTTCTCCCTTTACTTTAGTTTTTTATCTAGCACGTGCTATAGTTTTCTTTTTGTGTTTGCAATCAACGCAACTTATTTTGTTCAGGATATGCCACCCCACAATAAACCCTCGTAAGATCCCCGGTTCTGTTCGAATAGCCCTCTGGAGATAAGACACGCCCTTGTCTTACGCTCTTTAAGATTTTTCTGTGCTTACTCAATTCATTTTTTCTCTGTATATAGACATAACCGCTAGGTTCTTTTCACATCCTTTCTGAAGAGATACAGATTTCTTATCCTTTCAAAATAGAATCTTTTTATTGTCCCTTGCTCAAAATAACATGATTTGACATCCTCCTACATTTGTATAGCTCACCCTCTTTCTTCTCTTTTTCTTTCTCTCTCTCTCTTTCTCTCTCTCTCTCTCTCTCTCTCTCTCTCTCGCACTCTGTTATTATTCTAATAATGAATATCATATTTCTTGTTCCAGTATCCTTGTCAAAGACGCACTGCCTTGGTCCCCGTTCCTGTTTAATTCCGTTTCGTGTTCTATACAACAGGGTTTAGGCTAGTAGCTTGTTTATGTGGCTCATTGAACTGGTTTTCCTATGCTGTTCTCATTCATTGACAACAGGTTTCTTAGTTAAGGCTTTGAAAATGGGTTCATTATTTTATATTTCGTTCATCGCGTTTGTAGATAACGAAATCATCCAAGACTTTATTCCTGTTGTTCTGCCCTGTGCAGATCTTACTGGCTATTTGACATAATCGCTCCATCTTTGAAATATTTCCTTTCATTTTTCTTTGAGTAGATGTTTCCCGCACAGCCAATCAAACGTAATGTGTAGAATGACAGCATAAATATATATTTTTTAAATATGTTAATCAATGTTCTTGGTTCTTGCCTTCTAACATTTAATTTGCATTTTCTGTTTTAAAATTTGGAAATGACTCTAATAGAATTTATTGCAAATATGATTTTTTGTTTTCTTTATGAATAAGCAATCGATTCGCTGATAACTCAGTCAGTTATGTACCTTGTGTGATACACGCTAAAGCACACACACACATACACACACATATATATATATATATATATATATAAAGCACATATCTATCTTTCAATACATGACTGACGAGGCAGATTTTTTCAAGCAGTAGGTTGAAAACTACTGTCATTTAATTTTTTTCATTAATTAAATTAAAAATTCATTTTAGCCTATATTTACAAAATATAATATTAAATAAGCCCTTGTGAACATTTGGCAATACTTTACTTTTATGTTCTGTGTCCCTTCAGAACACATGCGATCATGGCTCTCCACATCTTCCTGTCCCTTGCTGCATTTACTAAATGTTGTCTTTTTGTTATTTTTTTCCAAATCCTGTTCTTCCACCCATTTTCTCAACTTCATCAAGTAAGTTACGCCTTTCTTTTACTCTGTCCCTTTTTCCCCTCAATCTGTCCTGTGAGTATCAGGTTTTCTAAGCCCTCCTTCCTCATTACGCGCCCGCAGAATTTCAACTGTCTATTCTTGATGATAGTTTCCTATTTGTTTCCATTTTCTCTAAAACCTCGTCATTACTCATATGTTCTGCCCACGGTACCTTCAGCAACCTTCTGTAAATATTTTAACCATCTCTTCCTGATGTTAAGTATGTTTCCTTTTTGTTTTCATTTTCTCTAAAACCTCATCGTTGCTCACATGTTCGGCCCATTTCTCAAAATTATGGTAGTGTAGCGCATCAGATCAAAGGATAGGACTTTAGTCTGCACAGTTTGACATCATTGGTAATGGTAATATTAGCCATTTCCTTATGAGGGAACATTTGAAATTCACTAATTCGGTTAACAAGGTCGATTTTACGGTTTTAAACACAATTCTCCATGATTTTCTCTCATACATTAATATCTGCTTAATGCGTATCCAAATGTAAACAAATTACATTACACATTATGAAATGAACAATTATTTTAAGACATTTTATGTTGATATGTTATAAGGTCGATTTTTTCTGTTTTTAAACAACAACGCTCCATTATTTTCTCTCATTCATTCATATCTGCTCAATGCATATCTAAATTTAAACAAATGATGTCACACATTATGAAATGGACAAAGTCCGACAATTATTTTTTAAGACATTTCTTATGTTTATACGTTATAAGGTCGATTTTACTGTTTTTAAACACAATTCTCTATCAACCTTGCTAACTGAACGCTCCTCTGTGGCTCAATCTGTTAAGGCACGTCAGGCTATATAACGGTTCAGTATAGGATACAGGTTCGATTCCTTTTGGAGGACGCATATTTTCTATGAAAATGTCTCGGACATTAAGGCCGGTTTATTATAAACAGAGCATTTACTTAAATATTTATATAGATATATAAAAAGAACGTATAAACATAAAAATGTCTTTAAAAAATGTTATATTTATAATCCAAGTGGAAATTCAGGCAACTCTACTGCAGATGAGTGAAGAGTAGAATCTGAAGAGAATTTCCTCTGAAAACATTCTGCTTTATTAGAAGTTGTTAACACCTAAAATTTAGTGAAGAGGGAAGCATATAAGACTATGTCTTATTTATGACACTATTATATAACAGCCAGTAGTCCCGATTTCCAAATCGGGACTACTGGCTGTTATATAATAGTGTTATACGGTGCCTCAATCTATCAGCAAAGAAAGCCTTCGCCACTTTAAGGACACGTTTACAATTATTACATGTAGACAGAAATATGCTCATGTTGTGATCAGAAATGTCAAATTGGTATAGCTGGGAATAGTGATTATTGTGGTTTATGTC